TTATTCCCCTGTGCAGTTTCTCCATCTCTACCATCCCCCCGCCCCATCTCCCAGTTTCCACCCCTCCCTTTCCCTCCTTTTTATTTTTTTTTCCTGTGACACATTTCTCTCAAACAGCAGTTCTGCTAAATTAATTCATAAGTCAGGGAGAACGACATCAAAAGAGAGCATTGTCAAGGTAAAGTGCTGATGAAGTTTCTTTTACTGAGCCGTGGAGGTATGAGAAGGCATCTCCATAGTGCATTATCTTTGATCGTGTTTCTGCGTGCTCTTCTTCCTAAAATCTGGCAACAGCAATTCATAGTGAAGTAAAATATTAGATAATAGAACAGATTTAAATATCAGACAGATACCTTGAACTAATTATTTTATTTCTTTAGCTCCAGACTAGGATACTAACTTGAGATGGTAATCTAGAGAAAGTTTTTTTGTGGCATCTCTGCTGGTTTATGGGTGCAGGTATTCTACTTGTATGAAGTAGACTAACAATATCAGCCACAGGATAAAACCATCAATACCATCAAAACCACAATCAAATAAATTCAGTCCATTATAGGCCAGTGTACTTTCATAAATAGCCTTAAAGTCCGCCCAAGCACTGTCCAGAACCTGTGGAGCCTCCAAAACCGTAAGATCTTGTTTAAGATTTGTCTGCTATAAATCTCATAGTAGGAAAATCGATAATAAAGTAATCTTACGAATATTTCTGTTTACCTTAAACACAGTTACACTCATCTATTAGCAGTTTGCATCTATAATCGTTACTGTTATGATTTCTTACTCGATACATGCGCACATGCTGCTCTCCTGTGGATCAAGAAAAAAATCTGCAGTAGACCTCCCAACACGTTCATATATTTTTTTGCTGATTCTTTATGTGGCGCATCTCAACAGGAAACTTCATTTATATTTACTGATTAGTCAACGTAGGCCTTTGCACCTGTCTCACTGTGAGATGCTCATTCAAGACATCAAACACGAAGGTCACAGGTTATCTTTGGTTGCAAAGGCCATCCTAGAACCAGTCTAACAGTGTGATTTAAGAGCAGAGATTTAGAACCCTGGTTTTCCCACAGTTATTCTGTAACTCCACAGAATATTTTTGCCTAATGTAATCCTTACTCTAACTGAGGTGAGAAAGGTCTGACATGGCTGTGATGTTTTTTTTTCTGACTTCCTAGATGATGTATCAATGCCTCTAATGGAAAGGTCCAACACTGTTCCTTGTTTCTCTTATTGTTATCGTTAATGGCTGTTACAGCGGTTCACCACAGTCTCAAAGCCTAAGGAATGGCTTTCTAACCTTTCCTGGACAGATGGATCTTAATGAATTCACTTCTAATATATTTCTTTAGATTGCTGCAGGATGTGTTGCAATTTAAGATATTCGCCAGCTTTAATAAGAGGGACTAGTTCTACTTTAGCTTGTTGATTGGTCTGGTGATAAAGTGTGCATGGAAACAATGAAATCAGCTTTAATTATTTAGATCACCTTTGTCTTGTATATTTTTTTATTTGAAATATTTAAGTTTGTCGAAAAAGAACCAGTTGAATAGACTATTAAGGCGTTGCTTTATCTTCTTTTAATTTAATAAGGTGAGAAGAAATTGCTACTAAACCAATGTCACGTTGGCTGGAAAGTCAGGGGCCACAGGGGCAGACAAAGAGCTTGTTGAGGGTTCTAAATCTTATTATTGAATCAGTAACATTTTATCTCTTTAATAAGATGAGGGGGTGTAAAATGAAAAACAATGTAGAGAATTAAAATATGCCCATGGGAACGTTGAAATAACAAAGACTGACCCCGTTTTTTTTGTTACTCATCACCAGATCATACGATATAAGAACTATTTCATGTGGTGTCTTTGGCAGAATTACCCAACAGCACCAACCTTATGACCTATATGAATATAATTTATGTATATACAGTGTTTTAAAATAGTTGAGCGACATTAAAGAGAGCAATTACATGTAGAAACTAAAGATAGAGACAGCAAAGCACTTTCATAAAGTTTCAGAGCAGAACTACTGACCCAAATACATTTAAATGCAACGAACAGTAAGAGAAAGAAATGAAAATATAGAAGAATTAGTCAAAGAGTGGGAATCAAAAATGACACAGAAAAAAAGATAAAAACGTAAAGTGAGATACTAAAGCAGTGAGCATAAAAAGTCAGCTTAAGGCAGTATGATTTGTTTTCATTCAAGAACGAATATTGAGAATAATGTGGCGACTGTTTGGATTTGTTTCAAAAAATCCACTTAGAAATAAAAATCTGCCCTGCAGCATTTCTCTGTTTGTCTCTCGCATCAAAATAAAAGTTTATGTCAAAAACCTGCTAAAAATATGACCGTAAACGGATCCATGCATCTTTGATGTGTTTTTTTGACCAAGCACACAGCATATAGACCATAACCTGTTGTGATATACAGTTATCTAAAAGGTCTAATCTATGGCAAAAATAAAACAATTAAATCAGTAAAATGGTTACATTGACCTGCCTGCAATACTGACATGGAAGAGTTTCAAAACTAAAGTGTGCTGAATAAAAAAAAAAAAAAGGGAAAAGACTGAATTGTAAAAAGTAACTAAAAAAAAGCTCTCTCTTTAAATAAAGTATTTACAAAGACCAGTGGTGTGAAGTCTAAGTATAAATACTTTGTTACCTTACTGAAGCAGAAATCTATACTTTACTGGAGTAATTAGTTTTTAGAAAACTTTTTAGTTATACTCTTTAAATTTTGCAATTATCTATACTTTCTATTCCTAATATTTTCAAAAATAAACTCTTTGTTATGCTTCATTAATGTTGATTTTCATGATGGCCTTTGGTGTTTAAAAAAACGAAAAACCATCAAAGTATTTTGTTTTATCCAGACAATTTCTTTTTCAGGAATTTGTTGTTTACCACATACTGCTTTACACTGGGAAATTGATCAAATTAAGTATACAGATGGAAATGTTCCTTTAACAGACTAATGCAGTATAGTATATGTCCTTAACATTTTTTCTTGCATTACTTTTACTTTTATATTTTAAGTAGTTTCAAAATTAATACTTTTTACACCTCTGACAAAGACCACAGTATATATAAATATTTTTTTATCATCAATTTCCTCCCAAACTCATTTGAATAATGTTTTGAAGATTAAGTCGTTATCTTTTATTTTTTGTTGTTTTACTTCTAATCCAGTTTATAGCTCACCATAAAACTGCGGTGACCTCAGCATTATATCAAACTCTTTTTGCTTTAAAACAGAGCATCCTATCAGTTTGGGAATATTGTTAGATGAAAATCTTTCCTAACCTAATTTACCACATCAACATTAGCACCTTTTCACGGTTTGTCTTGTTTGCTATTTTCGAGAAGTTGCACAATTAATTCAGGGACACAATACAGCGGAATAGTGCGTGATCATTAAATTGAAATCTCTTTGGTAAATTTATTGTAGCAGCAAGGAGTTCAGTGGCTGTTATGTATTTTCTGTATTTCATTTTCAGAGTTTGTGTGTCCACCCTTAAGGCTTCCCTGATTTGAGCTGTCAAAGGGAACGAGAGGCTAAACTTGGTGAAGCAGAGAATAGAGCAAGGCACATGTCAAAAATTTGAAGATCTAGAGTAAACAAAGTATAACACGAAGCAAAACAAAAATCTTCTCTTATCACAGCCTTCCCTACTCATAACTCTTCTACTTTTTTCTTTCTTGCTCATTTAAACTCTAGCATGTCATTTTTTGTCAACTGGTCCTTCTATAATGCCAGGCGTAGTGATAAAGTATCCTGTGCTGAAAATACAACACTTTGTGCAAGAAAAACTAATGTACCTTTAATTGGGTATTTAGATAGATAAAAAAAAGGGTAATAAAGGATGATTTTTTTTTAAAGAGTGGTTGTTAATCTTGGAAAACTGCCACTGAAAATCATTTATAATGAACAAATGTTGTTAAAGGCATGCAGGTAAATTTAAAGCTATAAAACCAGGCATTGTTGCATCTGACAATGGGCTGCGAGACAAACTAAACGCTTAGAAAACAGCAAAGAACTACAGCTAATGTGATTTACAGACTGGCTTTTAATAACTGCAATTGACAGGGACAAATTTCTTGCTTTCTTGTGTTTGTCAAATGGGCTTATTCCTAAACTCCACAAATCCTCCTGTCCAAACACAACCATATGGTCGCCCAGCTGTTCATGACCAGCTGTGCTACAGTATTTCTGGAAATGTCGCCATGTCCTGTTGCATCTCCCCTTCATTCCAACTCACTAAATCTTCTGCAATGAGGCCAGAGCAATTTCCATGTGGGCTTGAAATGCAAATAAAAAAAAACTGTGCTAGTATAATTGTAATGCAAAAAAAATGGGAATTCATATGTTATAGTGGAAGAGTTTGGCTTACTGTATTCACAGTACACTGAAAATAATTATGCAACCGCTTTTGGCATTTACTTAATCATATTTAGTTACTTTAACGTAATTGTTTTATTTCCTACCCTTCTATTGTGAAACGCTTGTGTTAAAGAAAATAAATATCATCAAGTAAATGCCAAAAGTTGTAGCATTATTTTTTTCAGTGTAGGATGTAACCAGGAAAGTTTTTTTCCTTAGAAAGCTGTATTCAAATCTTTCTGTTTATTTCAAAATCAATGATATAGCAAGTAAAAAGCATACAACGGTCTATTTCCTTTGAAAAATTACATCCTTCAAAATCTAATGTGTTCTCAAAGACAATATTTTTGGCAGTTTCCGGCTTCATTTCAATCTATAAAATGACAGTAAGTAACATGTTTTACATGCAATATGCCATGCTAATAATGTCATGTAGTAAATGCTATTCCCACCAGATTTCTCAAGGTGAATCAAGATAGCTTAAAGATAAAGAAAGTAAATACAAATACTGTTCAAAATCTATCATACCCATCTTACTTTGGGCTTTCGATTTTATCAAATAGTTAGCCAAAAATAGGACATTTGTATAAAGTATGTAAGAAATTAAGACTCACATGGTTAGGTGGGAGGAACTCGTGGTTGTTTTCATTCATGTACATGTTTTCACCATCAAACTGTAAGAGAAAGAAACATTTGTTAAAGAACACAAACCTCAGTCAGTCATTGGAGATGCTAAAACAATGTAACACCACAGCCTAATGACTGCAAGTCCTTGGCTTACAGACCCTGATGCTCTGGTGGATGTCAGTAATTACAGTTCATTAGAGACATATATAATTAAGCCCTGTCAACGTGTGTAACTCACACTCTACGTCTTTTTTTATGCCCACAGCTTGTGTGTGTGTTTGCATAAAAGTTTGCGCACCTGACTGTAGTGATTCCCACGGCGTCACAAGCAACAAAAGGGGCAGCCGTGATAATCACAACACTGAAAGCTCAACATCACTCCAGCAGGATGTCGAGTCAACAAGTCAGAAACGTATTCACTCATTGTTGAAGGACAGGTCTGTATTAAATCAGGGAATTTTACAAAGTGTGTCTCCATTTGTGCCATAATTGCATCAAGGTATAATAGCACCTAGCAGATGTAAGTATGTCAAAAATATAAAATGGTCAGCAAGACATACATTTTATTTTTTCACCTTGAGCATCGTGTATGCGTTGTCATTGCTGACACTGTTGCTTTCTGAGACGCAAAACCTCAGTTACTTTCTGCAGATTCATAAACTAACTTAACAGCAACACTTATGTTGAAGTATGTTTATAGCATTTGACAGACGCTATACAGCCACTCGGTACGTTGACCCAGATAGTGATGATCTGTAAGAATTTCCAGTACACAAATTTAACTCAAAGACACATTTTTTAAATACTTTCTGAGCAAGAGTAAACATATTCTGTTGTGAATCTGTTTATTTTGCATGCAGCACAGTACACCTGGAATTCGCAGCTTCATGGGAAAATGTGTCAACAGGACTATTACTGTATTACACTTCACAAATCTGGCCTCTTTAGAAAAGTGTCAAAAGGCAAACCATTGCTCATAGAAGGTGTAAGGATTTCCAAGAGTAAAATTAGTCTTTAAAAATTTGCTCCAGGGAGGATGAGAACAAAGCTGAGCTTTTAGGCCTACACAGGGATGAAAGGAGTTTGAAATTATTGCTGATTCTATATAAGTAAAAGCAAACCAATGTGCTCATATTTTATTCTAAATCCCTGCATACATTTTAATTTAAATTTCAATTCAGTTTATTTATATATCACCAATTCACAACACATGTCATCTCAAGGCACCTTACAGTTCTCCAGGTCATACAGTCAAATTGATTCAAAGTTTTCTATCTAAGGAAAACCAGTTGATTGCATCGACTCATTGACTATAAGGCAAGTCCCTCACACTGAACTGGCTTGTGGCGACAGTGGAGAGGAAAAACTCCCTTTTAAGAGGGAGAAGCCTCCAGCAAAACCAGGCTTTAGTGTGAGTGGCCATCTGCAGAGGCCGACTAGGTTTCAATTTTTTTGTGGTGTGCAGACCAATATAACCTCTATATAACAGCTGAGTCACACTTTTGTTCTTCAGATTTAGAGCCTTTAGCTTCTAATTTTTAAATGTTCAAGAATAAAAGTACATATAACAAAATACATTTAGAGCACTCCAATATTACTGATTAATTCAAAAAAAAATTCTAGATAGATGGATTTGCTTGATTGATAATATTGGTAGATTAACTTTATTGATCCCAACCTGGGAAAACTTTTTTATTTATGAATGGATATTAGAGAGAACTAGTCAAGGAAATGTGCCTTTTCGTGTGGCCCTATCCAGAGATCTACCATAAAACAATGAAATATTTATTCTGGATAGAGTAACAGGGATTCCTTTGGAAGGATTTGAAGAATGTTTTGAATTGCCTATCCTAAGCTGGAAGAAACAAAATCCTGAAAGTTAGACAAAAGCATTTTTTACACTTGGCTGTTGGTGTTGTTCAGGTATAGAGTTTAGTCGCAAGCACAGAGAAAGTCAAGCACCCAGTGCACGGTGGCATAGCTGATGGAGCCAAGGTTGTCAGAGTTGAGCACGCACAAGACATGTATTGAACGAGCGTGTCTGAGAAACTACACACCTCTATCACTGTGTGCTGAAGTTAGAGGCATAAAAAAGACTTTATTGCAGGAAGCATGTCTTCCCGGTACTAAATACTGCCCCTAAATATTTGTCTGGGGGTCAGAACCTGACTGCTCCAGCGTACTGTCACCCATGTTCGTACTAGGGCTGCAAATAACGATTATTTTGCAAATCAATTAATCTGTCGATTATTTTTTCAATGAATCGATTGATAATCGGATAGCAAAAAAGTCCTTAAAGGAGACTTTTTCTTAATAGAAATTAAACCAGGTGAAACTGAAACATTCCCCCTTTAGGAGTTCTGAATAGAGTATATTAACAGAAGAAAAAGACCTTTCTCTTAATTGCAAAATGTTTACATTTATTTTTCCAATATAGGTATAATTGCTGCTCTAAGTGGGTTGCTCTGTCAGCTAAAGGCATGTTTTACAGTCTATATACACCAGTTAATGATTATTTGTTTACTAAATTAGTTGACTTATTATTTCGATAATCGATTGATCGTGATTAATTCGATTAATTGTTTCAGCCCATGTTCTTACATACAAAGTGTCTTCAGAATGTAATTTTGTCAAAAAATGACTTCTACAACATAATAGCTATGGACACCTAACAACAATTGTACAATACTCTGTGTAAGCCTCACACATGATATTCTATAAAATACACAGGTTCGAATTACTAAACATGTGTATTGAATTAATATGCATGGAAGCAGGCAATTTATCAACTCAATATAAGAAATGATTATGAAAGGTGAAGTGGAGGATGTTCTTTTTCCAGGAGAAACATCAAAATAAGTGGCCCTTAATTTGTCAATTATTCTGGTGATATGTTAATGCTAGGCCATCCTACGAGCTTGTCCCGATTTTCACTTATGGGTAGTGACTCTGACGTAGTGGAAAAATTGCAAATCTTCTTTTGGAAAGTAAGCTTCTATGAGCCATACAAACAGCAACTTTTAAACAGAGCGTGCATTGGAGAAATGGTCTTGTGCATGCTCTCGCGCACGTTTAATAGACATTCCCTCTCGGGAGAGGGTACAAGGTTGTGCGTGTGAATTTATTTTTAAAGTGGAGAGGTATTTTCAAAAATTCACGTAAATCCTACACTATACCTTTAAGAACCAATTGAATTGAATAGAATTAAAATTAAACCGTTTTAACCAGCTGATATTACACACAATGCAGACTCAAATAGGTGAAAATAGTTTCAGAGTAAGGAGGACCGGGAGTCCCCTATTTGAGATTGTAACAATTCCGTGCTTAGGAGCCCTATAGTAGGTGATAGTCTGAGAGAGATGACAATGTATTTCTAATGGTGAACAATTCAGCCTTATTGTTTAAGTGGGAAGTGAGGAGGGTAAAGATAGTGTAGGCATGGGGTGTGAGGAGGGAGGGAACAAATAATAGAGTTAGCAAAGAGATCATGAATGAGAGAAGCCTAGATGAAGAGGAAAACGGCTGTAACAGCAGCAGTGGCAATGGAGCCTGTGGTTGCTGGAGCTGTAGAGTGATTAACACTGGGGTCACAGCCAAAGACCGCAGCTTGAAAGACACAGCCATTTAAACACACACACCCAAACACACACCAACATACTCGGAGACCTTTCCTGCCTCTCTTGCTGATACTGTTGGGTTGCAGCCCTTTATGAGAAAACACAACAGACTTCAAGACAGCTTGTAGAGGCTGAGATGAATGGTGCTCGTGTAGGGTAAAATAACTGGATAGATATGTGCCTCCAGGAAGATATTTGTCAAGCTTTGTGAGACGACAGATAACTGAGCAAACATTTTTGCCTTCAACTGGCCACATTTAATAAATGCAAATTAAAAATAATTCTCACAGGTTACTTGCATTTTTATTTCTAGATGGATAACGACACAATCTGAATGGCAGACCAACTCCAGTAAAAAGGCAATTACTTTGAAAATGATGCATTTCAAAGCACATTATCATTCAACCCCTGATGGAGCTGTTATTTTCAGTGCAATGATTTCTGTTTAATAGCACTATTTGTTACTAGGACCAATCATTGTATTTTCTATGGAAATGAAAATGACTGTCTTTATAACTCTTGGCAAATTATTTCTTAAAATGCCCTAATATGAAAAATGTGTTGGTGTCTGAAATAAAAAGGTTATTTTCACACCTATGAACCAGATCTCTTTTTGCAAAATAGGCTAAGCGCAAAACAATTAAACAGTGTCAAAGTGCAAGCTGGTATGTAGCAGTGCTTCAGCAGCACAATGGGAGGGAGTTGCTGAGAACAGACTGGTTAAAATAACAAACAGCTTTTATATCAAGGGGAAAGGTAAAAATAATTATTTTCTGGCTCTCCGTGGTTCAAAAAAGGTTAAATTAATATGAATGTACTTTACAAATGCTGGGTAAGGAATACAGCAGGTATTTCTTAAAAAGTCAACATATATTTTGTGGTATTTACTTTAATGATGACAAAAGAGAGAACAAAAGCTGCTTTCGAATTTGGCAACAAATTTCTCAAAATATGCATTACCAAACAGAGGTGGGCACCTCCAGTCCTTAACAGATTGACCATGTCCTCTAGGTTTTAAATGTATCCTATTCCAGATCCTCTGTATCAAATTACCTATTACCTCCTTAGCCTCTCAAACACTATAGAGGAGCCACGTAATTACCAGTTTGTATGAATCAGGTAGGGAAATAAAAGAGTCAGGACATAAGTCCTTAATGACTGGTGATTTTTATCGAAAAAAAAACATCATTTTTAATCACTGTTTGGAATTTGCAAAGGACTCCTGGGCCTCACAAAATACAAATATTGTTCAAAAACTTAAACTCTGTGATCAAAAAGACTACTTCACAATTTCAATTCCAATAAGTGGTACTTCTGCCAAACAATACACAACAGAGATTTCAATGAATCATGCTTTCAAATGAAAACACTAGTTAGCAATGTTGCACTGCAGAAAGGAGGTCCTGGGTTCAAATCTGGGCTTGGTGTTT